CAGGGTTTAAATATTGCCTGGTGAAGAAAAGGGCTCCGGTTCAGTAATTCACAGATACCAATTACTATCTGTAATTGAGCATTACATCTGGAAATAGGATATTCCCTCATATAAAGCAGCATATAGCTGCAAATTCTAAACTTAGAACCACCTTGTGCCCATATGCATCTGGTTTAAACTGCAGTCAAAATATTCCCCACTCTCTGTCAGTGAGTGTGACATCAGGGTATGGTGCTCACACTGTCATCATCCATGCAAATATAAATATACTGGAAAGCTTTCCAAACAAAGGAATCTGAATTTCAGTGTACAAAGTGATGTAAAACTTTTCCCTCTCTGAGCTTCATGTATGATGATTAATATATCCTTCTAAGGATGTGTACTTGTGATTATTTCTTTACTATGGGTATAAAGAGTAAACTTACTTTTCTTCCATACCACTCTTTTCTCCCATCTCTTCCCTCCTGTCCCCCTAAAGAAACAAACAGCTGATATTAGCAAGACCTTATATTTCCCCTGGAGGAACCAAGGAAATAGAGTTTAGAAAAAAATAAGAAAACTACTTGTCAAGAATCAGAGTTAAAATGAATGGCTTTGGACTGATAAAACACCCAAAGTTGTAAGCATCTCACAAAAAACCTCACCAAAAGTAGTCTCTTTCATGCTAAATTACTGTTTTTAATGCAATAAAAAATTAGTTCTCTATTCACTAACAAATTTAAGTAAAATGTATTAAAAAGTCAAATTTGAAAAACACTTGTAAGCTACAAGTAGTGAAGCTCAGCTCTGTGTGTTTGCATCATATTTAAGCAGATACCTACAATGCCAACAGGGACTTTACATGGGCATCGATTCCTCAAACTGATACATGAACAAAAAACCCGAACTCACGTGACACTCTAACTGCAGTGAACATTTTGTCAGACCACATCCCCCTGAGAAATTTGGAGAACCATTAATTATTCAAATAGCAAACAAGGCTGAACATTGTGCAGGGCTAAACACTCCAAAAATTCCACTGCATCTAAAAATGCATTTTACCTTGCTGAAAATCTTGCTGAGAAACAGAAACTCCTCAACTTTCATGCCTGCTCCATCTAACTCACTTGGCCAGTGCTGCCAAGTGCCCAACTCCTCCTGATACAACTTGGGATTTGCAGAGCACTCTCAGCTCCCACTGATTTGCTGAGGGCATCTGATCCATGTATAAAAAGGTAGTATGTTTCTACTTTGAAGGTATTCTTAAGATTGAAAAGCTGGAGTTTTTGAGGAAGCATACAGCTGAAACTAACATTTTACTTCCAGCCTTCTACAGTCAGGTAGTTAATAACTGTTCTTTCCTGACTCCTTCCCCACTGTTTCCCCTTTACTCTTTTTCAGACATACAACATTCCTAGGTCTCAAACTAAGACAGAGCCTTACACCCATGCACAGAGCCAGTAACAGAGTTTTAAAATCAACAGCATTTTGACATACAAATCAGGTTTTTCCATTATAACATAGGGAGAAAAGAATCAGTACCATATTTTGTGTTCGTTGATCTACTTCATAGCTTTAAGAAGGGCAAGCTTGGAGACCCCTACCAAGATTGCCCTGGACTATACAAGCATACACCTCCATCTATGAAGTTCCCAGCACCTTTCTAAGCTAAAACAATGTTAAAATAATCACAGTCCTAACCTATAACCAATGATTCAAGCCCTAAAATCTCTGTGATTACTCATTCACAGAATTCATTGTGAGCTAACAGCTATTTTCCATCTAATAAATGTGGTTTGAAGATGCTTTGAAGATTCGGAGTACTGAACATGTGGAGCTTTTACCATAACCATTGGAAAGTTCAAAAGCTCATTTCTGTCCTTCTGTCTGGTGAGGTGCATTTGGTGCTCACAGAACGACGCTGGCTTTGCCAAGCAGCGAGGGCTGGCGTTACACGCGCCTCATTACACAGTTCTGTCTGCCCACTCTTTTAAACAAAACTGTCAGCCTTCAAGCCTTGCTTGAGCAGTGCTTTCAAACTCTGGGTCCCCTCAAAGCATGTGAAGCTCCTCCAAATCCCAGTGAGACCATTAGACAAGGAAGGTGAGCAGCATACTGCAAAATGCCACCACAGAGAAGGCCAAGTTGCATACAGTGAGCCCAGAATACCGAAGTCACTTTTTAAAACGGCTCCAAACATGATGCAGAACCTGTTCTTTGAAGTAGAATATATAAAGTTCTTATACCTGCCTGGCACAAGCAGAGGTTATGCTAAAGAACATTTGCAACATTAAGTTCTTTGCTACCTTTTAGATCTTTTAGAAGTGCAAACAGCAGCAACACTGGAAGTTCTTTATAATTTTTCCTGAAGGTTCTCCAATCACGCTACATCTGCTCCTCCTTTAGTCATCAGCAATCTTCCTGTCTTCTGTGCTTTAGTATGACAATGTGTCTTACACTCTTAATGGTACAATAAATGTAGGCTACGCTCTGCCCCTTTAGATTACACTCTTTTACAGTGAATTATACTGAAGTGTAACATTTACTATTATCTCAAAGCTCTTAAGGATAAAATAGTGGTACACACCTTCTAACAAGTGACAACAGCCAACTTTTGCTGATCTCTGAAGATGGTTAGAAAGAATCCACTGATAGTACAGGCACTGCTCAAAGAAATTCATTACAGTTCACTGAACTCTGAAGGATATGATAAAGACCTGACTGGACCCCCTGAAGGGCCATCCAGTTCCTTGACAGAAAGACCACAGAACTGGAAATGAACCATCAATGACAGTGGTGCAAGGCACAAAATTATGAAATGCCATCTGGTTGGTACATGACAAGGAAATCTATCATTTTGGTGGCTTCCACCTCCACAGAAAAAGAAAGAACTGTTTATACAGCAAAATGGTTTGACTATTTGGGAAAGTCCTCAACTAGCCATGAAAATTAAAAAAAAAAAAAAAAAAAAAAAAAAAAAAAAAAAAAGAGAAAAGAGAAAAAAGATGAATTGGAATAAAAGCAAAAAAGACAGTAAACTAGAATTAACAGAACTAATAAGTCTAAAAACATAAGTAGTCACATCCCTTTAATGCCTAATTTGACAATATTAAAAACTTAAATAGTAACAGTCATTTGTATTCTTAGAGGTGTATATTCAGCAAAGGTGACACTACTGACAGGTAGTGGGTAGCTGCACAAGTAGAACGGTACATTCACTATTGCTGCCTGTTTAGCAAACAAAAGGGAAAATGGGACTAAACTGAAAATTGCATCACTTGTTTACAAGTCCCTGACAACTCAGAAGCAAACCATCTTGGACATTTATGGATCAATGACCCTGCATCTAAAGCACAAGGAGAGGGAATATTGACCATTTACATACAGAAGAGAACAGCATGTCCATGCACTCAGCTAAAAATTTTCAAAACACACCCTCATGCCATGACTGTTATCACACAGGATTTTAACTGATCATTCTGAAAATTTTACAGCAAGCTCAGGATTTATAAAAATTAGAAAACATAACAATACTGAATTTGTACAATGAAATCTTTACTACACTTCAGCTTGGTAGATAAAGAGAAGCTGCTCACCAAAATGAAAGTTAGCCATAGCTTAGCTGCAAGTGATTGTGCCTTGGTTGTATTTATTATTCACGAACAAAAAAAAAACCCCACAGGTAATGTGTACTTGGTTCTTTAAAAATTCCAGCTTCATTAAACTGCAAAAAATCCTGAACTCAGACTTAAGCAAAGAATGTGACTTCAAAGATGAACGACTGTTTTTCAAGTAAGACTCTTCTGAAGTTACACATAAACAAACGGGTCACCAATCACAACTAGATGAGAAAGTTAACCCAAAAATTAAACCTTTCCCTCAGACTACATATAAACAAATCGTGGGAAACCCAGGGGAAAATCTCAGCCATAGCAATAAGCTTAACTGAAATGCTACAGACGGCCCAGTGAAGCAAAAGACACAAGAAACAGCCTTCTGGGTACATTAGGAACAAAAGGAATCCTAGCAGTATTACAAAGTCCATTATTTGACCGAAATTCTTCAGTGTGGAGAATCTAAAAAAAGGAGCACTGTTCAACACATAGCTTTAAGTCCCCAACGGTAAGCATCATGACAAACTTTGTGATAAATATTGTCTATTCCTGTAATAAACAACAGCAGTTAAGGCTAGATATCGGGACACTGGATCCAGCTAAAGCACTCACATCAAGAATGTGTTGCAAGAGACGAAATAATCCAGAACAGAGCCATAAGAAACATTAAGAAAGTAGAAAAGTAAGGCTCACAAAGAAAACGTCTACCTCAAAGTACTAACTTTGGGGACATTCATAGTAAACATTACCCAAATACCATAGCAGAGGGCTTTTCAGTCTAGCCAAGATACAAGAACCACTAGCCTAAATTTAAAAGCAAATAATTTCAGTTAAACAAAATGGCATCTACTTCTAATCCGCTCAGGGGAATTCATTTAACACCACCAGTGGAATTGACTGCCTCGCTGGCAATGTTTAAAGAAAGTAACAAAAGGGTTTCTAAATTATGCATTTTTGCTCCAAGAGGTCTTAATTTAGGGCAGTCCTCTAGTCTACATCACACAGGTTGTTTTAAACAGGGTTTCTCTAAGTACTCACAAGCTTTCTTTTTTTTGGCATGAAATCCTTCTGAAGAAAAACAAAAAACAGACCACTGGTGAAAACCAACAGCACAGCTTTTAAAATTCCCCTCTCACTGCTATGTTTGAGGGAATATTTGTTTTCATGTACCAAGCTTCATAACAAAATCCACTTTTTATTTACACAATGCTTATATGCACTTTGAAATGCTCAATATATTCTCTATGCAAGTCTTATTTTAAGAGTAAGCGGCAGCTATGTCAGCTTGCAGATCAAGGCATCTCAGCCTTCACTATTTTACATGACATTCTACACAGTAAACTTCCCCATCTTTCCATTAACTATCTAACCTACCAAGCAGCTCAGAAATAAAGTGCAAGTACCTACCAGATAACATTCACTACTGCAGACACTCTGAGCCCTTTCAGAAATCCAGAACTGCCTCCATTACATGGTTTACTGAAGTTGATGTTGGTTTCCAGTGCTGCACATCCTGATACAGGGGAGAGCTGAGCATCAGAACGCACCCGAAAACCCAGGCACCCCCAGAGGAGCACACCAGACGTCTTCCCCAACTTTGCCTGCACATACACTGTACTGCTGCTTCATGCTCGCCCCCGCACCGCAACGCCACGGGATGCAAGATAACTCCGGAGCCAGAACTTCATGGCTCGCTGCCTACCGTCAGTCTGTCAGTCCGTCCGCGCTCCGGAACGCCAGCGGTGACAGCGGGCAGGAACTCGCCGGCTCCTCTGGGCGCGCCGGGATTGAACTTCTCGATTCTCCGTTCTGACTGACGAGTCAGACGGATTTTCCTCCGCCCCGAGGCGAGCAAAGCCCCGTGCAGGCTCCCGGCACGGGGTGGAGGAAGGAAAACGGGAGAGGAGCTCGTCCTCAGAGGGGTCTGACCCCACTGCGGGCCGGGTCGGAGGGCACGCACAGCCCACTTCCAAGGGATGCCACGGCTCTGCCGCCGCCCCCGGCGGGCGATGACCCCCGGCCGCGGGGGCAGCGCCGCCGCCAGACAATGGGGAGGCGGGCGGGCGCGGCCGCCCCACCGCGCCCACCCCGCGGGCGCCGTCCCCGCGGGCCCGGCCCGCCCGCCTCCGCCGGCCGGAGCCGCCCCCGCCCCGGGGCAGCAGCGCCGTCCCGTCCCCGCCGGAGGAGCGCCCGGCCCGCTCCCGGGGGAAGCGGGGGCGGGCGCAGGGCGGGCCGCCGCGGGCGGCGGGGTCACCCTCCCGGCGCCGAGAGCCCCCTCAGCGAGTCCCTACCTGCCGGCGCCGTCCGCCTCGCCCCCTCAGCCCGCGCCGCCGCCCGCCCGCCGCCTGCGCTCACGGCCGCGCCGCCATCTTGCGCTTCACAAACTACTGCACTTCTTTCGGGGCGGGGGGGCGGCGGATGGGCCGGGAGCTCCCAACGCCGCGGCCGCCCGCGCCCTCGCCTCGCCCCGCGGCGCTCACTCGCATCCTCCCGGCGCGGCGCTGTCCCGGGGCGGGAGCGCGGCGAGCGCGGTCGGCGCGGCCGCTGCCTCAGCCGCCCTGGCAGCGAGCGGGGGCGGAGCCGCTCCCGCCGCCCCGCCCGGCAGGCGGCGGACACCGGGCGCGGGGCTGCCCCGGCACCGCAGCGCCGCAGCCCGGGGACACCGGCGCTTCCTCGGCGGCCCGGGGAGGAGCGGGGCCGGCGGGGTGCGAGCTCCCGGGCGGCAGCCGCTCCTCCGCTGGCAAACTTGGGCTCCGCGGTCGGCGCTCCTGCCGCGCCCGGGACGGGCTGTAGGGACGGCATCGCCCCCAGCCCGGGAAGGGTTTTCCTGCCGCTCCCGCCCGGAGCTGCCGCCGGGGGAGGGCACGGCCGCAGGGTCCCGAGACTCAAGCCAGGGCGAGTGAAGACAGAAGGAGCGGCTCTAACGAAAAAAACCTTTCTCACACCTTGGGTTGTTGGGTTTTTTTGTTAGAGAGCTTGGAGAAAGGAGACTCTCTCCTTTTACTACATACAAAAATATTTTAATCAAAGTTGGGTTTAACTCTCGCTGCCCAGTTCTCAAAAATGTTGTTTCCCTACACTATTTTTCTTGTCATTGTGTGCTATTTTGGGTCAGACAAAATGTGACGCTTTCCCCAATAAAGTAAAAAGAAAGATGTGACTTGTGAGGAAAACTTAACTGTTCACAGGTGGACACAGAAGATAAAATTTACACAGTTGGGAAGCTTTTTAAAAATCTGCCTAGGTACAGGATCCTGTCGAGCCTAGTGACAGGAATACATTTGCTCAAAACAGAAGTTTTGATCTCAGGAATGTTTCTGGTTCTTCAATTCCATATTGTCAGTTTTCAGAATAGTGCTCTTAGGGGATGCACTCAAGCTGCCTGCCCCAAGTCACATTGAAATTGGTGAGAGCAGACAAGGAGGAGATCAAGTTAAGGACATTAGTTCAGTTATTACATTTCCAATGTCATAAAGTGCATTAAAATGTAATTTTTTTTTTCCTTTCTCCTGACCTCCTTTGCTGTGTACTCTATACACTAAGTGGAGAAGAAGCTGATCACATGCAGTTCTTATTTTAAAATCATAGTATTTGTCCTGGTGCCTTAAATGCAAGATTATCAATGATCAAAACTGTTCTGTGATTAAAATAGAGCAGACAACCCACCACTAAAAAGAGATTTTTTATTAATACCTACCAAACAATACAGAGAAAAAAAAATCTACATAGCACACTGATATTTGAACAAGCACAGTAGAAGGACACAAAAAGAGAACTCTACTGACAGAGATAAGAAACCAAACACAAAGAAAGAAGGACTCCACAGTTTGGCATTCAGTTTGGCCACACATTGTGTATGCAAGACACAGAAGAGAAGAGTGGAGGGTCATGCCACATATTTTATCATGATTTATATACAATTCTATTTTCATATAGTTAAACTCTTATTTTTTTTTAAATAACTATCAAATTAACATATAAATTTTCTCTGCTGGTTTGAAGAGAAATACTTCAAAACAGGGTACTGCTTTGCTTTTACTTCAATATATTTATCACCAACAATATATTCACTTTTATGTAATAAACAGATATGATTCTTCCCAGGTAACTAGAAAACTATTTACAATTGAATTCAACTACAAGCCATCTGATGGACTAACAATTTGTATTAAAATGCCTTTCTCCAGTATTAAGATTGTCATTATAACAACCATGATTAAACTTTACCTTACAAAGTTACAGTAGTCAATCTCGCTTTGTTTCAAGTTAATTTCAGTACCTCTCTTTAAAAGAAAACTTATCTGTTCAAATCTGCTGAGTTCAAAAGGCAATCACAGCAGTATGTTACATTAGAAAATATATATATATAGAAGGGAAATACCAAAGTCATTACATGACTTTATTTGAGCTTTCTTAATAAATTTTAAGATATATTTGTATAAATATATATGTAGATCTAGTATTTACTAAACAATGCAAAGAAAGAACAGCATGCAGTAAAAAGAAAACATTACAGAGCATGTCAAATATGCTGAAATCAAGTATCATGGATACCTGAAGGCTGTAATTTCTTTTTTCATTGCCTAAGAAGAAAAAAAAGGACAAATTAGGAGTCAGTGTGAATACAAACTTAAGAACCCTGTTTACTACTTCATCAAAAGAAGCGAGAATCTGTGCATACAATTGTTAGTAATGATTTACCCAATACATGTGCTACCACCATCACTGTTGTTCTGTACTCACTGGCTCCAACATATCCTTATGCACCCAAAATAGAGAGTAGGGTAGGAAAACTGCAGGGACCTGTATCAGGGGACTATGGATCAATAGTGCCTTCAGCAATTAGAGAGGAGACAGTTCCCAAAGAGCCACAGCTAAAAGCTGAACTGTTCTTTTCTGCACTCTGAATAAATACTTGTTCAAGTCTCTGCCTTCATACAGTAGAACTTACTCCTGGACTGACTTGTGCAATCCTTCTGAATAATATTCTTTGGTCAAAGGTCAAATAAGCAGAAAAAAAAGAAATCAAGTTCTATCACAGAAGCTCACAAGCACAGGATACCAAAAATGCTAAATCATGTAATTATGATGTATAAGAGAAGGGTGCATTTTTCAGAAATGGCATCCCTGAATCCAAGTAATCCTTGCTGTTGCACAAGCAGAGCAAGAGCATCTGACTCTCTATCAGATGTGGAAGAAGAGATCAAGATGACCAGGACTCAAGAGAAGAGGTTTCCTGAGTTTTTTAAGGAAGACTCAGATGCATTAAAAAATTTTATCTATTCTTATGCATGACCACCTGGAAGACAAATAGATTCAAGGACTTTGAAGCTGAAGACTGAATATCCAACCTATCTAAATAAACTCAGCAGTGGGAATGTCAGACTGGGACCATGGGTTCCTGTGGAATATTTCTGCCAAGTTCTGACAACTTGGAAATCCTCTCTTAGAAGGAGAGATTATACAGAATTTGACTCGTTAGCATTAAACCTTCATAGGCAGGAAGCTCCCATATCTGAAATTAAAGATGCTTGAGCCATTCTAGCTAAAAAGGAAGTCTGGCAAGACTAAAGTCTCTTCTTCTTGTTATGCCTCATACTTAGTTTCTTTTCAGGAATGGAATGACTGCTATACAAGTGTTACCATGTGTGACTGCCCGCAAGAGGAGAACGAGGAAGTGACAGACTGAGAAAAGCACCCTCCTTTCACAGCCCCCCCAGTGCTGAAAAGGTACCGGAGCAGGAGTGGTGACAGACTAAGGTTAACTGCCTTGAGAGGGCTCTGGGGGGGACCCATCATCTTCAAGCCTTTTCCTGCTGAAACTGCCAACAGCTAAGCCAAATGTAACAATAGTTTTGCAATATGGAGAAATATCTTCCAGACTGTAATGAACAAATCTTGTAACGTAGGCAACTAAGCAGCAATGAGTAATACTAAATAACCATGATATTCACAGGGCACACATACATATGCATAATACACATACCTGTAATAATGACAAAGTGCTACAAGACAAAAAAAATTACCTTCACTAATTTGTTTTTGTCACCGTCTTCCCGATGTTGGTAAATGCACTGGCTAAGGACAGCATATAGTTTTTCCATGCGAAATATACTGACGTTCTCAGTTACCACGGCAATAGAATGCAGCACTTGCTGAAGAAAAAAAATGGAAACCAGAGTTCAAAATAGCACAAGATAAGCTGCAAACAGAAAAGGTAGGACAGGTGTATGGCCAACTTCCCATGTGAAACTTTTTAATAGTTGCCACTCTGCTACATGCTTATTGAGTTCTGGGCCTATTATCAAGCAAATAAACTAAAAATACCAAAACCCCAAACAAAAAAACCATCCCAAACAAAATCAAGCAGCTACAGTTTGGAGGGTCACCCAACTTATTGTCTGCAAGTGAATTCCAAAGAGGCTTTCTAACGCAAGCAGCAAGTTCCAGTGGCACCCCTGTTAAGCAATCAAGTTTTCCAAAAGATGAATTTTATGACTGTAGCTCTGTCCTCACAGCTGAGACCTCTGTAAGGGCTCTCCAGTACCATCTCTCCAGTAGGCAGTACCTTCAGAGCACATGCTGCTGGCACCCTGACTCTAGAGAAACCCATGTGTTTTCCCTACACAGACAGACATGAACAACATCTTCCTTGCAAGGGGAAGGGGAGGGACAGGCACTGATCTATCTCTGCTCTTTGGTGACCACTGACAGGATCTGAGGGAACAGCATGAAGCTGTGTCAGGGGGAATTTAGGCTGGATATAAGGAAGAAGCTCTTCACCTAGAGGGTCGTCAGGCAGTAGAACAGGCTCCTCAGGAAAGTCGCTACAGCACCAAGTTTGACAGAGCTCAAGAAACATTTTGACAATGTTCTCAAGCACAGGGCAGAATTGTTGCACTCTATCCTTCTAGATCCCTTCCATCTCAGGTATTTTATCATTC